TTCACTGTGGGGCTGGGGTGGGGGCGGTCACCAGGCATGGACGACTGGGGAGAAAGGGACGGGAGAGGGACCGTTCTCCAGGCGGAGGGGAGAACAGGAGCAAGAACTACTTCCAGTGTTTCCACCTGCTGGAGCCTAAGGTGAAGCAGTGGCTGGAAAGGTCTGAACACCCGAGCGCGGCTGGAACAGCTGAGGCGTGGCCCTGGCAGACCAGAGGAGTGCAGGTGGCAGCAGGGAGACCCTCGGGCCTATTCCAGGCAAGAGGGGAAGGGGGTCTGAGGTTAAAGCACCCCACTGGGTTAATACGAAAGGTGGAGGAAAGGAGACAGGACCCACAGGTGCCTCTACTGACTGGATCAGGACGGGAGGGAGGGACGGAGGACGATTCCTGCGCGTCTGACTCAGATGCCTGAAGAACGGATGACGCTTTTCCTCCAGAGGAAGAGAATTTAGCGGGAGGGTCTGGAAGGGGAAGAGTTAAGTTGGGGACACGTGTTTGAGGTGCGAAGGGGACAGCCAGGTGGTGCCCGGCAGGCAGCTGGATACAGAGCTGCAGTTTTGCAGTGAAGACCGGCTGAGATGAAAACATGTGCTGAGATGAAACATGAAACCCAAGGCCAGGAGAGTAGACAAAGTCACCAAGGAAGAGGGTGGAAGGGGCACGTTAGCAGGAACGGGCCCCTGAGAGGAAGGCGGCCTGGTGGGAGTCAAGGCCTGACCAGCAGGCAAGCACAGGCCTCACTCTGTAAGCGTGGGCTGCAGGGAGAGGGGTGGGAAGGGAGGAGGTGGAGGCGGGACGAGCGGCTCTCTGAGGAGCCCAGCTGTGACAAGAAAAAAGAATCAGAGCACAGGGGAGTGAGCTAAAAATTCAAGGGCTTGACCGTTCTCCCCTGCAAGGTCCCCTCAAGGAGAGATCTGAGGGTATTTATATGGCAGTACAGGGAGAGTTTGAAAACATGGGGACAAAAGCAAACAGTCTTATCGTGCAATCCAGTAATCACACGCTTAAATATTTGCCCAGCGCATGTGAAAACTTAGGTCCACAGAAAACCCGCACACGGATGTTTGCAGCAGCTTTGTTCGTAACTGCCAAGAACTGAATGAGCCAACGTGACCTTCAATGGGTGAATGAATAAACAAACAGTGGAGCATCCACAAATGGAATACGAAGAACTGAGCTACGAGGCCACAGAAAGAGGAGGATGAATCTGAAATGCACGTGCTCAGGCAAACACAGAGACCTTACCTAGAGGGTCCTCACACTGCAAATCGCCGGCCTGCAGCAGCTGGTGTCAGGGGCTCTGCCCAGGTCCCTTTCCCTTACCTGAATGGTGTCCGGTTGTTGTCTTGAAGCAACTCAGAGTCATCATTTGAGTGGAAGAGCAACACCTTAATTCCATTCTTGCAAAACCACAACCTCCAGTCTCAACTCCTGCTAAGGCTGCAGCTGGGCCCTTTGGTTTTGATATAGTTAAGGTAGGTTTTCCCAAACCTGCAGGACTGTCAACCTTGGGACTCTAATTCAACCTCGATTGCAAGTTGCAAGCAGAAAAAGCTTCTCTTATAGCAAGGCTACATTGTCTTCTTCACTGTGCTTTCAAACCAGCTTCCTTAAGTGTCAGCATATAGCTCTTTTGCAGGACTCTGTAGCTTGCATTTACTGAACACTCATGTGTCACTGCTTTCCACATGTGCTATGGTCTGTTTGCCCACACCCTTCCTGCCATGTGAGGATGCAGCGAGAAGAGGGCTTGTCCATGAACCAGAAAGCAGCCCCCACAGACACCAAATCTACCAGTGCCCTGACCTTGGACTTCCAAACTCCAGAACTGTGAAAAATAAATGTGTTTCTTATGAGCCACCTACTTCATGGTTCGCATGTTATGGCAACCTGAATGGACTAAGATATGACTTACTTAATCCTCCTAACGATCCTACGTAGATCTGATCATCATTTCCATTATCAGACGAGGCAACTGGCCACACAGGAAGCAGCAGGGCCAGGGTCTGGCCCTCCCAGTGCAGCTCAACACTGCAGCCGCCCGTTATGTCCCTCGGCTCCATGTGGTCTGTATCCAAACCACAGCAACAGTTTGGTGAAACATTTCACAACCAAATAACCAGGTTCCCCAATTTTCGGCCTCGGGAAGCTGGGTCCTTGTTAATCCTGTCCTACCGGCCAGGCACGGTGGCTCACGCCTGTAATCCTAGCACTCTGGGAGGCCGAGGCGGGCGGATTGCTCAAGGTCAGGAGTTC